TGTTTTGGCTTTCTTGTCCGCTGTTTGTAGGTCCGCAGACACTGAGATTAAGAGTGTTAAATTTAACCTTCTCTGGTTTAATGGTGTGGAAGAAAATCATCCTCTTTATGCAGCAGAGCTGTGGCTCTGTGTTGTGCCAGATCTTGGTTTGTCCCTTTGAGTCAAAATCCTACAAGTTTTTACTTTTATCATAGGGGAGCAAATATTTCTTTAACCTATGAGTATGTTCCAAGATAAAAATGGGCAGTACCCTGGCTTTTTATTTCCTTTTTTTTTTTTTTTTTTAGTTAAGAATTATATGTACCAGGACATCTGTTGGTGGACCCCCACCAGCTTTGCCATCACTACCTTTCTGGTGATGCATCTGATCTTTTAAAATTTGAAAATCAAGACTTTAATGTGCCAATTATTGCATATGCCTCTCTGACTGCTTGGCTAGACAGGGAAATCATTTACCCAGTCCTTATGCTGAGATAAGCGAACTGTAACCCTGTTTCACTTTGGTTTCCATCCGTATTATCTTGTATTAAAGTTATAAAACAGAGTTGGGGGGAAAAGCTATTAAAAATACTAAAGAAAAACATTCTTAGATACTGTTTGTCAGCAAAGATTTACGTGGACTGTAAAGATCTTTGTAAACAAAGTTCTTTACTATGTCAGCCTTCTAGCTAATTATCAAAGAAACCTTAATAGAAACAGTGCTCTGTAACTTAAAGCAGTTTTTAATCAACTGTCAAGTCTATTAAATAATAGTCTGTCATTCAAATAAGGTTGGTCAGCTTTTGTTCAGTTGAAAGCAGACCTTCGTCGTGGCAAAGATACCATTTGGCCTTAACCCTCAGTTGATTTAGAGATGGTGCTAAACTGTAAGCTTGCTTTAGCAGTTAAAATCTCTCTAGGTGGCTCTAATGGCCAAAAAGTAACGAGACTTAAAATTCTCAGAACTGTGCCCCAAACTTACTTTGGATTTGCCTTGCAACAGAAGCACGAAGCTTTCTTCGTGAGAGAGAGGAAGATGACGAAATCTGGCCTTGAACTGATGAACTGTTCAGTGAACTGTATCCTCAAGAAGAGTTCTTTGCTCAGTGTGCGTCCCCTCGGACGCAGCCTGTGGCATGGAGAAGAGCCCGTGGGGCTAACCTATTTCGGATATGATGTCATGAACCATAACTGCTGCAGGTGAAAGAGGGGTCCCTAGCCAGTTTCCGTGGTAACTGATAGGCACCTGCAGCTCTTTGACGCAGTGCTGGATCTGTCCTGCTCTGTGCATAGAGCATTCAGTGATGGACATACGTAGCTGTCCTGGCAAAGCCTCATCAGGGTTCATTTTGTGGAGGGCAAGCTTTTTTTCCTTTTCCAACAGGGCATTTTCACTCTTGTTGTATTGAGCTCCATCCCTCATTTTATTTAGCCTGTATTTATGAATATTGGGGATAATCTTTATTGTTTGTTTGAAACATTTCTTTCTGTTTTGTTACAATCTACACTGAATTTGCAGACTCCCCAAATTTGCATTTAGTTTCGCTGCTGCTTGAGGTTCTGTTTTGGTAGCTTGCCGCTTGCAAGGAGAAAGAAAACAATATATGAGCTTCTAAGGTCATGGAAAGCCCTTCGCTAAAGTCGTGAAGATTGGGTGATGCGCAAGATTTCTAAAAGACCAATTCTGCTTTGAAAGAGCAATTGTTCTTTGTATCGTGTGCGGTATCAGGAAGCAGGTTCCTTTGAGTGTGAGACTGGGTTCCCTAGCGTTCTGATTGCCGCTTGTAGCTGTTAAAGTGTTAAAACTACAATGGGTTTGTAATCAGATCCTGTGCATCCGCTCCTTTTGTGGTATCTTGCTACGCACCCTGAAGCTTTGGTCTACAATGCAGATACTGCTTGGGTGAGGAATGAGTAGTGATTGTCAAGATTACAGAGATGGGATTAATTCTTGGTTTGAGATTATATCTGAAACTATTGTGCACCATATGAGAGATCATTCTCCAAACCAGTAGTTTTAACACTCTTTGTGCTGCTCAACATTGAGATGTTTTGTTTCACAAAAGAGTTGTGAGCAAGACAGAGCACAATAAAACAACATTCTCCAGACTCCCCTAAGGTTTCTGGTAAATATTTGTAACTAAACCTGTCTTGCACACTCCTTAGGTGACTGCCAAAGGGATTTTGAAGTGCTGGAAGTAAGAGGAGAGAGGGATAGTCAATTTTGATTGCTCATATGCGGGTGCCCAGTATGCTCTAACCTGCTCCTTTTTCCCCCCCTCTGTTGTTAAGCATCAGCAACACCAAAGCTAGATAGCTGGAAGCATTTTTATCACTTTGCAACAGTGCCTGGCTGTGTACCACAAGCGGGGCCTTCTGAAGCCAGGGAATGCTTGCAATTGCAGTTCAGGTTTTGTTCACTGGGACATCACGCCTTGAACCAATCAAGACTGGTGAACTAACAAGTGAGAGGGACCTCCTGTTGTCTGCAGTGGTTTTTTTACTTCACAGTTTCCAGAAGGAATGATTGCTACAAAAAAAAAAAAAAAAAAAAAAAAACAACCAAAAAAAAAAAACCCCAACCAAACAAAAAAAACCCCCTCCAAACCAGAACAGCACTTAAAGAAGTGCCTGTAGAGAGTAGAAATCAAACTAGGCAATAGACAAACCATAAGCTTTCACAGGCTTCTGATGTTTTTCCCAGAAAAAAACACAGCACGTTTCTAGAAACGTGATAATAGGTATGATTTTTGTGGGATGCTGATGTAGGGATGTTCAATATAAACAGTCCCAGAAACAAGAGAAGAAACATCAGATTCACCTTTAAAAGCTAAAGAAACGTTTTGATAATCTAATAGCACACTTCTTGTATTGTTCTGAGCTTGCACTGCTTTGTAAGCCTCCGCTATTCAGAAATATCCTCTAAGTTGTGCTTGTGTATTTGGCTAATTTTATGTCTAAACTAAAACACACACCAAACAAGATCTTAGAAACTGAGTATGGTTGTTAATAGATACCTTTGAGCACAGGTTAGTGTCTTCCCAACCAGTAATTAACTAGCTAATTTAAACCCATTTTTTGCATACTTTCATCTGGTACATTTTCAAGGCGGCGTATGGCAATGTTACCAGTGTATAACGTGAGGTGCTGTGCAGAAGCACGTTTTAAGTGTTCATCAAGAATATGTTCAAAGTAGATAAGATGTCAGTTCTTTGCAACGTTTTGCAAAGATATATTTAGGTTTGGCAGTGTAAGGACACTTAAGACTGTCATCAACACTTTCAGCAAACAGTAATTTTTTTCGTAAGTTATTTTATCAAAAGTGCAATGAATATAGCCATGGGCAAGCAGATTAGCTTCACCTAGGGGTTCCTTGCAGCTGTTGGATCACTTTCTCCTTAAAGTCTTGTTAGTAGTGTCCAGGATGCTAGAAGGTGGATTTTGTTCCACTGAGGTCTGCGATTGCTCAATGCCCATTTCAGTGGGCATCTGCTGTGAACAAAGGATAGGATTCCATCTTGCTGCTTCTATAGGCACAAATCTGTTTTCGTTTTTATATAAGTTTTGATTTAGTGGAAATTACATCATCCTATGGAATCAACGGTTACTTAGTAGGCAAATCTGAAACTTCAGCTAAATGTCTTGAAGATGTACAAGGACAGATACAGGACTACACTATGGTTGGTATGTTTAACAGTCGTGCCCGTATTTTCACGTGGTCAATAACGTGCAGGTGTTTGAGGTGCCTTTTTGATTCCCAGCATGACTTCAGAAGGTGTGTCTATACAGTAAGCTTAAAGAATGGAAGTGATACAAAAATTGCTACTTCTGAAAATATTATGTATCCGATCACTGTGCACAAAAAGAGGAAGATTGTGGTGTGAGTACATGAAGTACAAGTTTTTGGACACAACAGAATAAGAGCAATGTATTGAGCTTATACAAGAGACAGACATGATATTCAGTGTGCATATACTGAATGTACATAAACATAATGTACATATAGATTGAGTATAGGTAATGTGATTTACCCTTAGTATGATTTGGCACTCCCAGCTAATAAACTGCTGGCTTTCTCCTTGCGTTTCCAGGAGGGATTTTTGGAAATGCCAGGAAACAACCATAATCTCACAGTTCCTTATCGCCTCTCCCAAGGGGAACCTTCACAAGAGGTGATCGCCAGTGGCATTTCCTTGAGACAACGGTTGCTGTCAACATTACTGCCCTCTTAATTTGTAGATACAAATGTGCCTCAGCAATTTCAACAGCTTTCATTGTAGAGGAAATGCTAGCAGCCATGGCTTACCTAATTTTTTGTGCTTCCGTTTGTTTTGCTGTGAATAGACCTGAGTAGTCAGTATGAAAAGCAGGTGCAAGAATCATGGATTTGCTGCAAGAATAACTTCAGAAATTTGTTGGTATTAGCAACAGCAGTATGTGTGTTGAAATAAGAAAATGGAAGTAAGAATAAAATATAAGATACAGCACAGCATAGTGGAAATTTAGAAAATTAACCCTTTTTCAAAGCATGCTAAATATCAGCTAACTCAGCTATTACACTAACAGAGCTATCGCACTGCAAGGACATTGTAGCCTTTAAGATGATCATTTCGCAGAAGAACTAAGAATATGCAACGACTTTGTAAATATAAGACCTCTGAAGCCGTGGCTGGATGGGAGCACCTCGAGGAAAATCCCAGTGCGACCCCAGCACTGTAATAAAGAATACTGGCTTGAAAGTCTCATTGGCTGGAGAGTTAATTTCTTTGCTTCAGTGTGATCATGTTCTATGATACAAGGGGAGAATCCCAATTAAAATCTTGTAGCTAAATAAGTGACAAAGACCTTACAAACAGTATGAGACTCCAGGCCAACTATGGTGGTAGTAATAATAATGATAATGATAATATCTGGTCTCTGAGGTCTTTTATATGGAATAGTATAGACATAGCAGGATTATTTTACCAATTGTCATTCTACTAACTTTATTTTGTGGGTTTTTTTTTTTCTTTTTTTCCCAGCATTCACCAAATGCTGTCAAGAAACTGGTCTTCTTATGGTGGTGAAGTGTCGGCAAGAGAACACAGCACTGAAAGATTGTCTGGTTGGCTAGTAAGTCCCTCATGAGTTTCTGTTGGGCTTTTTTTTTTGTTGTATGGTCTATACTAATCTAGAATGAGCAGAACTCTTAAATCTTCTCAAAACGGGTTTTGCAAGGTTAGCGACTTTGATGTATGTTCTCAAAATTGCATCTTCATTTTAGAAAAACGTGTGCTGGTCAGGGCCCTACCTGAAAAGATTTTATTTCCTTTATAAAGCTGCCCTATGGCTATAAAGACTCTCGTCCTCATTTAAATGGTGTCAGATCTAGATTTTCAGCCCAGACAACATGCAGCCCTGTATTCGCTGTGCTGTATTACCTATGTGGGGAGTAGGGGTGAGCAGCAGAAGCACCTTCCTTCTCTGTTAGTGAGACAGGATAAAGTTTGTTTTGATTTTGCTTCTTGAACTGTTTTTGAAGATTTAGTCTTTGTCCTGGAAGAGTCCTGCTGTTGTGAACAGCAACAGCAGCAGTGATGGGAAACTGTGAGATACGAAAGGGGTCACCTTGATGCCATGGTGGATTGAAATGTGTCTTTTGGAAGTCCTAATTTATCCCCAGTGCTACCAGGCTGAAGTGTTAGATTCTTGAATTTCCCAGGGTGAAGGTTGGGGATTTTTTGACTGGGGGGAGAAGGGCATTGGTTTGGTTTTTGGTGGAATGTGTGTCCTGTCCTGTTAAACCAGAGATTAAGATTAAATGCCTTTAAATGAGTGACAGTTACTCTCAGGTATTTAGGAATTGATGAAAAAACATGTGCAGCCAGGTAAGAGTTCAAGTCTAACTGCAGTGAGAACTTGCTGGAGTTATTCAGTTTTATTTGTCTGTACCCTGCATAAAATTTTGCCTTTAAAAAAAAAAAAGCAATACCCAAAATATACACTACTGAAAAAAAGTTTAGTGCTTGAATAATTATACTTCATATCAAAATTACGAAAAAAAATGAATGGAATTCACTGATTAAGGACCTACATGGTTACTGTTCAAGGCGTACACTTGAACCTGTTCCCAGTAGTTGCCTGAGTGCATAAATATAAGTGTACTCCAGCAGATTCCCATGCTGAGGATGCTGACTGCAAATAATAACAAATTATTTAGCTGAACTGAAGTACCAAAAGTCTTTCCTTTTTTCTACCTTTCCTCTTCATGGCTTCACTGTAGAGGCTTGAAAAGGACCGTGCCTCAAGAGAGAGCAATGTCATGAAAGAATGCAGACCAGCTCAGTATTTAGAGTTTAGGAAGATAAATGTAACCGCTTATGCACTTTATAAAAAAAAAAGTATTTTATTATTGAAGGCAGGCAAATTTTCTTTGAGTGTGAAAGGAAGATCAGTTATGAGTGTTACTCGTGCTATATCTGTTCCATACTCCAAGATGAAAAACATTGTTATGTATTTGTCTGTCTTGTAGCTATTCTGATCCATTATTCTATGAGGAATGCAAAACAGAGTATTTGAAGCAAAGAGAAGAATACAGAGCAACTGGAATTAAGAAAAAAAGACAGAAGTTTACCTCAAATGTGTAGTTGAAACTTAAAACTAACTTTTCAGATTTTATATCCAACTTTGATTTGAATTGATTTAAACAGACTTAAATCATCTGTACCCCCATTTAACAGAAAAACGCAAAATGAGATAAATGGAGAATAAAATAATCTCTGAACCTAAAAGTATTTTTTTTTATTTTCTGTAATTAAAGATATAAAGCACACTGTCACAGTTTGCAAGATAAGTCGCAAAGGTCTGTTCCTCTGTCTGGACTTGAGATTTGGAAACTCATTTACAAATGGCCTTTTGGAATTTAAGGCTTGTGGCTAGTTATGTGTGGCAGGCTACATAAAAACTTAAGGGTGAATAATTTAAGTTGTATTAACTGATCACAAGCTGGGTATACATTAAAATTGGTCTATTTGTCATCTGAAGCTGAGGGTGTATGGAGATGCTCTTGATGCTCTTACAAGAAGAGAAGGGTGGCAAATGCAGAAGAGCTGAGCTTCTTGGACCAATTTGATGTATCTTTTTCATGAAAACGTTGAGTCATATGAGAGCCTGATGAGTCTGTGTTGCCGGAAGAGATGGATGCCCCAATGCCTCTGTGTGGCCCAGACTGACTGTTTCAACTCTAGAGGAAAAAAGTCGCCTGATCGAGACCTTCCCTGAGAATGGGAGACTCAGGCACGCCGGAGGCAAAATCATCGAGTGCGGTATCCTCCCCTGCTTTCCTCTTTCAGAACGAAGATGATTGTATAAGCTGCCACACTTCAGGAGTGAGCAAGTGACCACGCTTGCAAAATTACTATGGGTAGAGGTGAGTGAATGACTAAACTAGGTGTGTAAGACACAGGCCACTTCTTGCAGAAACTAAGTGTAAGCAAGTCCCGATTTAGAAAGGGGACGACAAAGGATCTTTCTTATACTGGTAGTTGAAGCTGCTTAATTGTAGAACTCTCAAATGCATAAATGGCTTCACTAGAGATAGTGATGTTACTCTTCTAGGGTATCTTTTGAAGCATTTTGAAATAAAAAAATTCTTTACAAGTAAGGAAAGGCTACACTTAGAAAACTTACTCACACAGTAACTTTAATGGCCTGATTTTACAAAAAAAGTTTTTTTGCCTGAGTAAGTAGTAGGATTTGTTACTCTTCCATCAGAACATGCAAAATTTGACTTGTTTATTTTAGTACTGTTTCACCACACAACCAGTACTGCTCTAAAGCTATTCATGTGGGAAATTCAGTTTAGGCTCCGGGACACAGGTATGTGACATACTTGAGGTTACTGTTGCAGGTTAGTCCTTGCTCTTTATTCTGTGCCTTTTACTGGAATAATCAATAATAATAGTGCTTCTGCTATTACACAGCAGATTGGCTGGAGCATTAAGGGAATGCTTGTGAATGAAACACTGAAAGGATGTGTAGCATTCAGTCTTGTTGGGCAAACTTAAGTGGCACTCAGCTCTAAAACAAACCATCTTAGAACAGCTTCTGTGGAATAAAGTTTCCTACACCTGTACTTGCTCTGGGCTCCTTAGTTCAAGCATTTTGAAAAACAGAAATATTCCAGGTCAGTTGGTGGAAAATTGGTTGTTTCCCTGTATGTATTTAAAAAAAGAGGAAACTTAAGGTAGATGGTGAAATGTTTTTCAACAGTCCTGTTATCCCACTATGAAAATCAGCTACATTTTCAGCCTCTGGAAAGCAAACTTGGGTGGTTGTAATTTCTCTGGAAAGCAAACCTGGGTGGTTGTAACTTCTCTGGATAGCAAACCTGGGTGGTTGTAATTTTTGTCAGAAGTGCTTCCAAAGAGGGTTTGGTTGGGGGCGAGTGTTCTCTTGCAGGCAAGTGCTGTGTGCTGCCAGTGGTACGGGCCTGCACCGAGGGCTCACCTGTGTCTTACTCAGGTCCATACCACAGCTGGTGAATACAGGCAACAGCACCAGCAGTGGGTGTTCATTGCCGACGTGCACTGGCTGGTAGTGCTGGGAAGGAGTTAATGCCTGTAGTGGAACAAAGCCCGGTTTAACCGGCAGGTGTTGCTCCCCCACCATTCCATACACGCTTTATGTGAAGGACTGTAACAACTCACTTCTGCACTGATAACCAGGCTCTGCTGTCGAGCCTGACACTGCGTGTATTGAGGTATGCTGTCAGCCATACATTTCTCTTTACCTACGCTGTTGTGTGTGTAAGGAAGGAGTGGGCCGCCCCTCCTTTGCTTACCTTGGCACTTAGAGCTGGGCTTCGCCCTTGGCTCCGGCATCAGCTTCCTCTGTAATACACCCATGGCCTTCAGGTGGTGTTTCCCAGTTTTGCCTTCTTGATTTCACACCTTTCACTTTCTTAAAGTGTTGTGCCGTGCAGTACCCTGTATTTTAATTGCATTTACATCTTTTATTTAAAGTTTAAAGGAAAGAATGAGTACTATGATGTGACAAACTCGTATTAGTAAATTGCCTTGGTTTTGTCCCAGCTGCAACCTTTCCTTCCTACTGAGGTTAACAGGAAGCAGGCCTAGATCCTGATCAGTGTAAGAAAACATCGGTAGTATTGACAAAGCCTTCAGCTGTGCTTCAGTGGTGAAGTGGAAGCTTTTTTGCTACATGTTAAGTATTTTTAAAAAAGCACTTCTATTTTGTCAAAAGTTATTCTCAAATGACGAGAGGGTGCAGCTCTGGAGGCCTGGCTCTCTTCCCGCCTCAGCCCCTCCACCTCCCCACGAAACAACACATGCAGCTGCCTGCGCTTACCGAAAGCGGGCAGCTACACGCGATTAGGAAGGGAGCTAACCTCAGACATGCAGTACTTCACCTGGCCCTCTCCATCTAAACCAGGGATTGCAACTCTAATTAATGGTCCCTGGGTGTTTCTTCATATGGCTTTTTCATTTTGAAGTCAGTTCTGCAGGATTCTTACACATCATTGTTATTCTGCATAGGAGCAGACAATTGGTGGACTTAGTCTAGGTGTGTCTCCAATGTTTTCCAATTAACTTGTTAAGATAAAAAGATGACTTAAGTGCAGAGGCAGGGACTAACTCAAGTAGGTCAGCCAAAGTCTGAAGCGTGGCAATGCCGGTAGCCCGCCACAGCTAATATTCGCCTAAGTGCCTGATGTTTTCTAACACATGACCTCCTTAAAAGTTAAGGGGGCATTACCAAACGCTTGCAGTGCCAGTTTTAAGACTGCCTGCTACAACTGGAAGCTTTCACAAAGCTGCGCGGCTTTCACTGTAGCCATACAACGAGCCTGCACTCTGCGCTTACCTCCTCTAATGGGAACCACATGCTCAGCCAGCTTAAAACCATCCACTGTGTGGCACTATTGATTGACATTGATAGACTAAGGTCTTGAAGCTAGAAGATGGATTTGTCACCTTCAGCACCCTCACACAGCGGTCACGGTTTTTGCAGCAAAGGCACCGAGCTGCTTCTCTTCGTAGCGCTTGGGAGAACTTCCAAGCGCCCGGGACACCCACATTCTTCAGTTCAGGCTGTGTTGTTTCAGTGTATTAAGGCTCTCTCCAAACTCCTGCGAGAAGCCCCCTTCAAACATGAAATCTAAAAGGAAGGAGGCAAAGGGTGTCATATAATTTACATTAAGAAGTTTGCCTTCATAAAGTGAAAGATGAGTGGCATTCTGTAATGCATAGGGGTTTCAAAGAGGAGTGGAACTACCTACCGCTGCAGTCCCCAAGTCCTCACCCAGCAGGGGATCTGTAAGGCAGGAACACATCCTGCCTCACAGTTAGTACAGCCGTACTCCTCCCCAGGTAATTCCTGCAAGCTTGTGTTCTCTGCTTATCATCCAGATGTGGTCAAATAGAGCTGAAACGTTACGTGTTCCATCTAGTTTAAAAATGAGTTCAGTAACAATAAGCACTTGGTTGTTTCTTTCATGCTGCTCCCCTGGATCAAACATCCCTACTCAAACACCATCCTCTTATCACTCAGTTACTCTATCTTGAATCATCTTGCTGTTTGAATTACTTTGTCTCTTCCATCTTAAAATATAATTAAATGAATTCTGCTTGACGCTGATCCTCGGTTCATACCGCAACACATTTACTACAGAGAACAGATTTTTTTTTCTTTTTTTTAAATGGTTCAACTGCTTATCAGACTTGGGAATTTGCAACTCAATTACAATTAGGGTTTACTTTTAGTTCTGATAATAAAACAAATTAAATACTTATGTCCACTGTCCTATGATGTTCATGCAAGTAGTGCACCAACCCCCCCTACAGAAAGGGGCAAAAGCCTGACCCCTAAAAACCAAAACAATACAACTCCCCCCAAAACCCATGTGCCTTCTTGTATCCAAACTACACAAAGCAACAAGGAAACACCTTACCGCTCTGCCACCGCTGTTCTTCACAGGGCCTGTCTGAGGGTCAGAAGAAAACGCAGGCGAGTCAGTCTGGTACCAGAGCTTTTCACTCTTCCTTTACTAGGCCAGAGAGTCATTAAAAATAAAGCTGTTGGAGCACAGGGGCCTCAAATTCTACTGCAAGTAGGTTTTGAAATAAAATTAAATCTGCTTTACATCACCAGTATAGTTCATATTATATGTGCATGGGCCGGTATTAAATTATATGGAGTGGGTATTGTCTTACTGTAACTCCGCCCTATCTCTACCACTGCTCAAATCTTTTTCCAGCTGTAAAAATTTGACAGCGCATCACAGCTAATTTGGGAGTTTTTGCTTTCTTCAGTCTGACTAGTTCACATGCATAAGAGGAAAACTAATCAGTTGTAAACCCACAAAAGTGGCAGGGAGACGTAAAATGATCAGATTTTAAAAGTGTTTAGAATGAACCAAACAGTGGAATTCTACGTATGAGTTATCAGAGTTTAATCCAAATACATAGTCATCAGCTTGCCATATGCTCACCTAAATGTGCAAAGCAATGACCTCCTCCTGTCCCAAAAGCTGTCTTCCATGCCTGTTAAATGCAATTAGTGTTAAATTAAAAATTGTCAAATCAGTGGGTTGGGTAAAGTTTTAAAATGTTCAAAGTTAGCATTCAAGTGGACTTTTTTGGTGTCATTTTAACTTACTTGAGGACTTTGGTCCTTTATGCAATTTTACAGTTTTATGTAACAAATGCACACGCAAAACACCAGAGCCTCTTTTCTACAGCTACTTCCGCGTGTAACTCGCTGTCACCGTGATGAAAGGCTTTCACTTCTGAAAATGGAAAAAGCACTGTAAGCCACTAGCAGTGCGGATTTAAATGACTTTTCCATCCCGAGTCAAAATTTGATCGCATGCTCCAGCCCAACAGACCTCTCACAAGCCAGCTGGCTCCCAGCCAACTTCAAAGCTGGGGGCTTCCTTTTCAAGCGCTACCATTTTGCCGCAGCAGCGAGGGAGGGGACTGGAAATGGTGCCCACAGCCAGCTCCCCCCGTCCCGCCCTCCTCGCTCAGGTAGCAGCAGCTCTTCCAAAGTCCGCCTCGGCGAACACCACTGCTCCCCTCTCCAGCATGGGAAGCAGCACAGAAGATAAACCCAGGCTCAAAGGCAAAGCTCAGGTATCTCAGCCACTGCCTGGAGAAGCTTAATTTTTTATGTTTCCCTGTCACCCAGGACAGGCTGATCAGGAACCCTTTGACACAAGCAGTCAAACTCAAGAGGAACACGCCATAGCTTAAGGTAACTCAGTCCTTCGGGTTTCAACATCTAAGAGAATAGACTGAAGCAGTCTGCAGGGGATGTTTGGTTTTTACCTGCACAGAGGAGGATGAACCTCAAATTAATTGCTTGTGTTTGGAATGACCTTTATACACAATCTAGAAATTAAAACCAAGTAAAAAAAAAAAAATTTGTGCCAAATACTGAAAGGAGATTTGTAAGTGAAACCAATTTCGAACAAAAATAAATTTATTTAATATCTTACACAGTAGAATTCCTTCATTGCACAAATCAAAGTATCAATTATGGTGATGTCTGTTGGATGATACATTACTTAATAAAAACCCCTCTGTTCTGTGGAGGTGGGGAACCCCCAAAAGTCAGCTACATTAGAACTAGACACCACAGAGCTTACGCAGCCGCACGAGAAATGTTTTCTGCTGCTTTGTTATTACACAGGTAGTTGGTTCTGTCAGCTCAAGCCTAGTGACTTGGATTTGTTTTATGCATATTGGGTTTTGTTCTATTACTTTCCAAGAGATTGTACTCCCCTGAGTCAGCCGTGTTCATTGGTCAGAATAAATTCCAGCATCTGACACCATTTCCATTAATCACAGACAAGCCAGGATACGTGAGCAAGATAATAGAAAGATAAAAAACAATATCTGGTGAACGGGAAACACTGTTTATGTATGCTGCTCACTACCACCCTAGAAGGTATCTGGAAGGCATTTTTTCAACTTTGATAGGCAAACGGAAAGAAGAGAAGAAGATGGGCATCCTATGAAGTACTCGCTCCGCAGGGAAGAAAGCATCTGGAACCACACGGGTTGTGTAGCACCTTGGTAATGCTTTTACAGCCCATCGTTACTACGGCTGTGCTGCAGTCATAGCTTCCTTCTGTATTTCTGAGCACTTTTAAGATAATTTGCTGCTAAAAAGCTGAGAAACTAATTTTTATTCTACTGAGCTTAAGCTGGGCCTGTGAAGTTGAATACTTCACCCACCCACCCACCTGTAAATAACATATTTAGTATTAAGTGTCTTCCCACCCATTACGAGTTAGATACGGATCTAAAATACAAAGCATTTTTCTTGAACATATTTGAGCAGTCAAAAGCGTTTCACTTAACCCTGTTATATTAAGCCAGATACGAAGCAGAGCAGGTTTGGGTTTTTTTTTTTAAAAAAAAAAAAAAAAAAAAAAGCATAAATTGTTCTTGGCCTCAGGAGAAAAAAAATAGCACTTAAGACATCCATAATCTATAAAGCAGACAGTTGCAATTCACTTAACTCTAGTCTTAGTGGCATACTAAAAGATACCACAAAAATACTCCTTGTGTATCTCAACAATGCTACAACACCTCATCCGATTAAATTAAGGCTTTGTCTCTTTAATAAAAGAAAAGTTAGTAGCCTTCACCACCACACAAATAGTCGAGTCGAGGCCCTGGTGCCGTGCAGAGGCGGCTCGGTAACTGCGCTGCGAAGAGGGCGAGTCCGGGGCAGGCACCGCTGTGTGCAGCCTTGAGTCGGTTTCTTGCAGCATGAACTGAGGGAAATGAGCTGAATGTCCGCGATTCTCAGCGCTCGGCAGCAGCACTTGTGTTCCTTTATAATTCACAATAAGGCCCAAATTGGTGCAATCTAAACAGGAAGCCTATGCGTGATTATTCCCTTGCCATTATCTAATAGAAATCAAGATTTCAACAAAAAAAAAACAAACAAAAAAACCACCCCTTCTCACCTTTCTTGTTTAAAAACTACATAAAAATGCATTTCTAAACCAGAGGAATCAGAAGGCTAATTGAAAGGAGGAAGGGAAGGAGAATCCAGTTCTTCATTTTATGTCTTACTCTGAAAAAAAACCCCACTGTCAAGCTCAGAGCTGGTACAAGTTTTAAACACAGGATACCAAATATTTTCTTGATAACATAAAAATAGCAAGCAAATACAGAACTGGGTTCCTTCGTTTTATTCCAACAACTGACTTTTCAGTGTGATCTTTCGCAAATGTATGCCATTTGCAGTACACGGCTATCTAGGCCCCATGCTAGATTTCTTTATATTTACATTACACCAGCACAGCTTTAACTTCAAGGAACTTGCTCCTGATTTACAGCAGAGGAAGACTAGGCTTTCTGTTTCAGAACTAGAATTAAAAATAAAGAACATATCAGGCAATTTGTTTTCCCTCTTTAGAAGTTGAAGCGTTAAGGTGCCTATTCAGAACCATACTAAAAAAGCCTCAGTTCATTCTAAAAATTAAATTTTAACTCTTGTGCAGACAGTTTTGATTACACTGATCCAGGTAATCTGCTGGACAGTTTAACAAGGTGGTTTTATTCTTCATTTCCCAAAACACATTCTCATTAGGCTTTGGAGGACTTGGGAATACCCAGGAATTATCTTCCAGAGAGCTCTTTCCGTAAGAATGGTGGTCCTGAAACATTTTGTCATCAACTGGAATGGGTCTCTCATCTGTCCATGCTTGCAGAGTCACCCTTTCAGATGGGATTTTTACATCTCTCGGCAGAGGAGCAGACACTGCATTGCAGAGCACTTTATCGTTTTGCAAGAGGTTTTTATAGACTACCCCAGACGTCAAATTCAGCTTTGAAATGTTCACGTCAACACATTGTACTGGTGCAGCAGAGGCAACTGAAGAAAGAGGTTAAAAAAAAAAAAAAAAAAAAAAAAAAGATATTTTAAAATGGCATTAGCTAATGCATTTTTCATTTACTCCAAGTGTCCTACAGTACAGCAGGTACGTTAAACCCAGTGTTTCCAAGTTACAAATTTTCAGAGCGTATTTTACTTCAGTAACTATTTAAAAGTTACGAACGGAACATACTAACCTCCTCAGTCTGATTGTGCCAGATGAACCAGTGATCCCGCAAGAGCAATGTCCGAAATATACCCAACACCAAGGAAATGTCCCAGTTCCCACTTGAACACAAAAAAACTGAGGAACTTTTTGACAGGACTGGAATGAATGATGCAACAGGATTTTTGCGCGCTTCAAGAAACCAGCCAGATTCAGAGCACTGCTTACACATAGCATGCTTCTTCCTACTCCACTGATTACTCCACTGATTCTTTTAGCAAGTTGTGTTCTCAGGCTGCCAAGAACCCGAATTGTCACTGTCCATGAAGCAGTAAGAGGGAAGCGCATGGTGCTCACAGGTTCTCTCTGCTCCGCTATTGTCTGACTTCTGCAAGTAAAGTGAGAGACTGCAATGTTCAGCCATCTGAAATCCCAGGGGAGTTTTAAACCGTGCTAGGAAGGGGAGGGTTTTGAAACAGAACAGCATCTACCTGAAAGAAAAGAGCTGCACCTTCAATGCACATCTGAACAGATGGCCAATAATTTACATAAACGGGTAACGATTCCAGCAGTTAAAGAAACTCAGTCTTACAGGTAGTTTTCTAGACTAGATATGAAACTTAAGTACGCACTGTGATTTGTAACTTGAGTTCTTAAGTGACAGAAAGAGGAGCCAGTATCTTGATCAAAGGATACAACTTCCATTTGTCACTAAAAATTAAGGGGCAGTGCACAATTTGCAAACGTCAGCCAAAAGCACAGGCATCGTATCTGAAAGACCTGCAGGGGAACTGGATTTGGCCTCTTTCTGCTGACAGGTGTAAAAAGCAATTTGAGGTCTACAGACCTTTAGAAGTTCAAGAAAAATGGAATACACTGAAAAATGGATTGAAAATGTAAAAAAACCGTAACACATGAACAGACACACATTTGTTGAAAATGCCTCCATACATAAATGACAGCTAAGGAGAATCCGCGTGTTAACTGGTCTTGTTACCATCACACACAGAGCAATGAATACATTGTGTTCTGCAGACTTTATGCACCTCTTATAGCAGCAACTAGTTTGTATCTGGTAAAATACTTAGTACTGCAGGTATAGGAAGTAGATGCTCAAGAAGTCAATTCTACCCATATTTTGCATAAGCTTTGATTTTTCTATAAGCACAGCTATATCTGCATTGCATTTGTAAGCATGGCTGACAAGCAAGGTAAACAAAAAAAAAAATTACAGTTTGCATTTCTACCAAACCTGTCCACTCTTACACACTTCAAAAAATTACTGAAAAAAGCCTACAGAGCAAAGAGCAAAAATCCACAGTTTTCCAATTAATCAATAATGCCTTTTATAGCTGTGGCTGTACAAGTGCATTGGCAACCGCAGAAAATCAGACTGTTCACCAAGTAAGAGAAGAGAAGAAAAAAAAAAAAATCAGTACTTGTGTAGTGGCAAGAGTGTTAACTCCAAATAAAAAATAAGGACGGAAAGATACTACGTGATCACATCAAACCTCGACACACTTAAGGATTAAAAACTCATTCAGTTCCCAGTTTCTCTGCTGAAGTGATTTGACAAATGTGCCTTAGAATTGTAGAAACACGGACTCGCCTGCTAACACTATGACCAAGCCTAAAAAGCATGTGGATAATTTATCAGCCAAGGACCAGAGAGTGACCATTCATCACTGCTGCCCACAGACAAAGGCAGTGATTGACCTGGAGTGAATCCTATCGCCTTCTCACCGAGCCAATCAAGGCTGTTCAGAAACAAAAATGTCTTGATCTTGTAATGGACAGGGACGTCAGAGACCGTCACCAACATATTGTAACCGAGTTCGCCGTCTTTCACCAGCATCTTCTGTATTCTGAACACGGTAAGCACCACAACTGAAGTGAGCAGAAAATGAAGGAAGGAAACACTGCGTTGAACGGTCAGACTGACAGTCTGGCCCCACCAGAGTAAGAACGCTCTCTCATAAAGCATTTGGCTTGAGAGAAGCACGCATGTGAAATAGAAGAACCCCCTGATGAACGGCTCACAGAAATTATATGTACTTTATGTGGAATTATTTTCCCCTTAATTATTTGCAATGTAGCAGCAGAAATAAGGTGGTTTTGCAGCCTCAGTATTTGACATTCAGAAAATGTCACCTTGTGTAGCATTTGGCTGGAGAAGACAACTTTTCTGAATGCCAACGTAAAGAAATACGCAACCATAAGGGGATTTCAGCCTATTAAAGTCTGATTTTAACATGTTGCCAAATTAATGCTTTATCTTTTCTATACTGGGAAAATAAGACTGCGTTTGCAAAAAGATTTTTTTTTTTTCCCCCCTAATATGAAGTAGTTGTGGTAAAAGGTCAAATACGAGTAAACTTAACACCTCAGCCTTGTGCACATAAGCAACACTTGACTGAGAAAAAAGCCACAAGGGGAACAGAATACAGTACTGAAGAAAAAACACATCAGCAACACCTTTATGTGTGAAGTTGACCAGTATGAGACAGAAGCAAAAGCAGAAAATGGGTAGGCTGGAACCATAATATAGTCTAGCTTATCAACTTCAATTGATGAGATTCTGATAAGATATGATAGCTAGTTTCTTTTTAAAATGGTACAGCTTGAATCAACGGTTTGTGCTTGTAAGGTCTGTTACTGCAAACACTGACTTGCCTTTCTTGGTCGCTGTTGGGTTTGTTTTCAGTTTTCGTAGAACCTCAGCTTGCACGTCAGTCACTAGACGCAAATTAGACATTTCTCTCTTCAGTTCCCAATATGCTTGTTGCACGCTTTCAAAACAAAAGTTTTTTAGAAGTTAAGTAATTGCCACCTCTAAAGCACCCTCATGCCTATTAACGTGCTTATCAAGCAATAACTGTTAATAAATTCTTCTTGTCTGACATACACTGCAAATTTTGCTAAAGTACCATAATTCAAAGTGAATTGAGTAGTACTGGTAATCATCTTAAACTGATGGACCTTTGTATAGACTCTTGCATATTACCAGATACAATATATTAACAAACTAGATGATACTAATAATTTCAAGTTCCCCAAATGGAAAGAAATATGAAGCATATTCTCCAATTTCATTATTTGAAACTAACCGTCTTCCCATAAAATCAGTAATCTCAAAGGAATACTTTTTAAAAAATAAATTAAATGGGCACTGGACTGCAAACAAGGTAGAGCATCAGCTTTGAATGGCTTCTGATAAATGACCACACACACCATCATGCGTCATGATCCTAGTAATGTTAATTGTTGATTATTTTAAATATTCAATCAAAAAATCAGTATCTGGGTCTTTACACCATTCACAATGCTACAGTGAATTCAGAGTAGATACCCGAGATCCAAACTCAGCACACCCCTCCCCCCTGACCAAACTAAAATATCAAACTTACTGTTTCACGTTCAAGTCATCTAATTTATGTTAATACACTGCCTTTTCAGACAGTGTAAAAAATAGCAACCCAATTAGTTCTCTGATAAGACAGCATAATATGGGAAACATATTTAGCAACAGCAGCACTGTTCCAACATTGAAGTTTCAGGTTATTAGCTGGTAAGAAAATCAGCAATAACAAAAATCAAAGAAATCAGCATCACCATATGTTTTGTGGTAAAATTTCAAGCAAAGGCTCACTGAACACCACATTTATGTTGATTAATAATTAACTTAAGTGTTCAAAACCATAAGGATGCAGTTACTTCAACTTAAACATTAAATCAATGATTTAATGGGGTTTTTTAATGCTTAACATTCTACCAAACCACATTTATTGAGGACAAGTATCAGGGATGGGAGTTCTCAGAATATTTCTTTCTTCCTCACTATATTCACCTCAAAGATGTTTATTTGCAAACAGTTCAGTACCTCAAACTATTGCTGAGATGGCCAAGAACTATTAACCTGTACAACAACTCTATTTTCAAACATGCACAGATACAGATTTCTGTCCCTCTAAAATGGAAATTTAGGATCACTCCAGCATGAATTTATTAGACATCAGTGTTTTCAAAAGCACTGTGAGAAACAGCTGTTATTCTATTCTGCAAGTTAACACTGAAAGAGTTCCCTTAAAACAAAGAAGTTAAACCTTATTCTAGGCACACAAATATTCCCCCAGAATATAAAAATTCAGATTCATAAACCCTGTAAAACAGTGGAAGCTGATAGCTTAAATATATAATATAAATACTTAGTAAAGTATTAGGTATCCAGCAATTCTGACAGGTAAAAAATTAAAATTTTCATAACTGACAGTTCAAGAAGTTCAGGTAAACCTGTGGCCTTTTTACTGCAGAATCCATTTGGCTCTTTGAACTTTTAAGACACGACAATTTTAAAATTAAGTTGATGTGGCAACGCATTTCATTTATTCATGTGTTTTGGCTTCAAAGGTAAGATCAAAAAAACCTTATTTATATCAAACCAGAACTAATATTTAATATAGATGTGGTAAATATAAGAACAGCTCAGAAGGAAAGTGCTTAGGTAAGTTTTGTAATGTGTATTTAGCGCTTTTAAAAGCATCTTGCAGAGGGATGCAGGTACCAGACTTCCACAGAAATCACACACAACATTTTAACTGGTTTTGCGGATACTGACCTAGAATCCCATTGCAAAGCTTGATTTTCAACAAATTTCCAATCAAAGACCACATGCTTGGAAGTTTATCCTGTACTGCCTTCTAATATGCAATATAAACCTTGAATATGATGGTCTATCTAAATCTACAGCAAAGTAGGTTTGCAAACCGAGAACTTAAATTCAGATTTGCAGGCTGCTGACAAATGTGAAATAATTACCTTCCAAAAAGTTAACTAACTGCAAATGCCTGCATCTCCCATAAACAGAAAGATTGCTTGCTACAACAAAAGTTTCACATAGGAGGTTTTTAAATTTTTCCACAGATTTTTGGATGGGTTTACATATTCAGTACATGTTACACATTCATTATTTATGTCATGTAACAGTAAACACTATACTGTATATATGCTAATTCAGATGGTTGCCACCTGAACATCACTTTGTGGACTAAATCTGCTCCAGAACACCGAAGAGATAACTGCTTTACCTTGAGATAACACCTTTTTTCAGGCGTGTAAGACTGACTATGAAGCTCCAGCAGAAACCACAAGAAAAAGTGTTAGCTAGCTAGCTATCCAGTCAAGGTGAAAGTGTAATTTGTGTACAGTGCATATAATATTATCATCATGACACCAGTGAATGTATGAGAAGAAATATCTGCGCTGTTCTCTTTCAGCGACGGATTTCCTTCCCCATCTCTTCAATACCCAAGTAAGCAACAAGGTATTATATTAAACAATCTATCGTTATGAAGGACCACTCTTCCCTCTTGTGGAAAGCAGTGTAAATACACAAAGAGGCATACCAGGGTGCAAGACATGCGGTTAGTATTTAATTTCTGCAAGACTAAACATTTGGGAAATTTCACGCACTCATGAATTGTTCTTTTGCATAAAGAATTAAAGGATATATATACACTTTCTAATACAGCACACATACTCAAGAGGGTAAAATATAGGAGTTTAGATCATAAGCACAATTGAATGGCTGCAAAATGAAAACAAATGCTTTCTGATAGCCTTTTTCTGCAAAACTGGTATTTCCTTTTGAATAGGTCATGTCTCCTCAATATTTAAAAAAAAAAAAAAACCAACACCTTTAGGATGTCTTCTAGTAGAAATGTTATTGCACTGCGCTAAGTAAGAATATATGTTGCAACACTAACCAAAATATTTGAAGCCATCACCTATGCAAACACAGAGACCTCCCCATACATGGAATGAAGATACTCTGTAGCTGAGATGAGCCTTCGAAACTTACCTACCACCTCCTCAAGTCAGCTAATTATTAAAAAGCTGATTTTTAAATAGAAGGCAATTTAACTTCCATTTGCTGTACAACAACCTGAAAATGTAAATGTTTTCTTATCATCATCATCCTGGATTACCAACATAATAAATAAATAAAAAAAAAAAATCACAATGATCTTGCTAAATCAGTATACCTCGACTTGAAATTAGATTATGTAATTTGAAATAACATCTGAACAGGCTGCAAGAATATTTACTTGTTCAAAAAACTGTCTCTCAGTAAACTAAAAATAAAACAAGAAATCCACTTGATTTTCATACCTCTGGATGTCTTGCCTTTGCAGGACGTCTGCATTTAATGGATTTTCGTCTTGAGCCTGGTCCTGCATAACAGTGAGGGGAAGATAGAGAAGGAATGAACATATGATTTCAGATCTTCTGTCTGAAAATACTGCAGTGAAACTACAAGTTTGCTAATATTACAATTCAGAAGTAAAGTAGTCTTCATTTATGTTGGCTGCAGTGGTTTTCAAAATGGACATGACGACTTCGACTAAAAACTTCCACTTAAAAATGCTTAAATTACTTCTGTGAAAGCATTGCTCAGCCACCACCATACACTCTCTCCTCTCCCCCCCACCCTTTTTTTTTTTTTTTCCAAAAAAACCCCAAACAGCTGAGCTCTTGGAATTTGTGATTCTTTGAAAAGCAAAAATTGAGAAAGGCTTTTGAGTTCTATTAAAAAAAAAAGTAATCAGTCTTCTCTTGTTCTTTCCCCGCCCCAGTATATAAAGACATTTAAATTAAACTGTTTCAGTATAGATTTACTTCCACAAGTTACTCTTATGTTAGAACATAATTTATCCCTTGAGTCTGAAAGACTGCTTTAAATCATGCGTGCAAGCAGCCTCACTGAAGTTATCAGGGCCGTTTAACAAATCAAACATTGGGCTCACTTCGTTAGTCATGTCTCCATTACACCGTCACTGGTGATGAGTTCCCGTTCATAGCCCTTCTCTTCATGTTCCCTTCCTACTGCTGGTTCCTCTAGCCACAGCTGTTACGGATTTGATACCTATTACTGTGGCTTCATGATGGCCTATATGCATTTCAAGCAACTTGTCAATACAATGTACACACTACATCAACTACAATGCAAGACCTGAATATCTAAGAATAGGAAAAAAAATTGAAAGCATACTTGCCTGAGGTAGAAAACATCTGAAAATGCTAAATAATGTAATTAAAAACAGTAATAACGAAAATACCAGCTGGGTCTGAAACAACGCTGACTTGTCATTCATTGCCCATTGACCACATTTCCCTGTATTTCACCTGACAATTTTTCCCCCTCCTGAAGCCTTTCCCCACCATCACCCATAAGAGGTTCAATTTCATAGCTAAAAAAATAAAACAAACAGTTGCACTTTATTACCCCACATTTGAACACTTGTACATTTTATTTCCTATATTAAGCAGTTACCCAGATCAAGAAGAAGTGATACTTAAAAAGCTGTTCCTTATATTTGTTGCTTGCAACAAGAGCTGCTGATATAAGCATTATTTAAACAGTGTCATGTCTAGTATTCCTTACAGCTGCTATTTTAGTCCGTTCTTTCTAGCAACATTCATTCTCACAATACAACCTGCAATTATTCTGTGGAGCTACCTGAAAACACCAGAACTGCATACAGGTTACAGTATGCCTTCAGAATTTACAAGTTATTGAAAACACCTAAAAGAATTCCAGATACAAATGAAAACAACCACCAACAGTAATGGAAGGTAACAGAACACCTCACACGCCTTGCAGGTAACGTGCTTTATCCCCACCTAGTGGAAAAAACACAGACTAAACCTGAGACAAGACAATCAATGCATATAGGCCTGCCCCTGGAAGCTAGGAGTGAGGCATGACAGCAGATCTGCAGAGACACATTCAGTGCTGAGAACCCAACACCCCAACTATAGATCTATTTATATCTATATATATGCTTTGAGGGCAGCAGGGGAAAAGGACTTTACATCAGGCTAGCTCTAGTGTGGTCTCCGAATGCTCAGAAGAGGTTGAGTCTTACATATCCTGAATATCGGCTCACTCAAATATTATATGACTCAAGATTACATAATTGTAGTTATTAATGCCCATAAGGAACCTAAAATCATCTGCCTCTTCCATCAATCACATTTAAATCTCTTAAATTTGTGTAACTTCAATGTGACTGCAGAGTCGTAGAGACTGCCACTGTACCTTTTATCATGTAAAGCAGTAAGCATGCACTAGACATTTTTTTTTTCATTTAATGCATTTTATTACTGTTAATATATCTTAATTTCCTTTTTGAGATCCTAAGCACATCTATGTTACACAATGAGTCCCTCGCAAGATGACAGTTGCCCCAGAAATGGCAAGGAAGGGCACTAAAAGAGGTACAGCAAGATTCTGGAAACCTTGTTAACAAGAATCCACTTTCCCGACAAGCTTCATGCAACTACCCTGCTGCACTAGAGCTCCTTAAACAAAGTTCATGATATCTTTTAACATAAGTACTCTATTGTTTTAAGGGAAAAACAAACAAAAAAACCCAGACAAACCAGGTCTTCCCAAACTTCTTTGGAAGTCCAGCCCAAGGCAAATACTAGCACAGAACACTTCAATCTGATCGACTACTAGTAAGAAATCGTAAAGCTTTATTTTCTGGTTTTATATGGGCAAGGGCTGGAAAATCTCACCTATGTAAGTGTACTATTTCCAAGAAACAAGCCAGTCTATGAGAATATTTAAGGTTAATTTTACTAGGATGTTCATCTTTCACTCAATTATACACTTCATATCACTTTGTTTACCCTTTACTTGTTTGAATAAGGGAATTAAAATAATGCTATAACACAGACAAATCTATTAATACAAAAATTTCTTAAAAATAAAGGTACCTTCTGCTTGGATTTTTGCAACTCCTGTCTGAGACTGTTGCACTCTTCCTTGAGCTTTTCTAGATCCTGTTCCAGACTATGCACTTTCAGGTCACTGCTCAGCTTCTCTATTTCCCAGCTGGACTGAGTACAATGCAGATTTTTCATCACTGTGCAAGAAGACGACAAGCAAGACAATCAGATTTCAGTTCCAGTTTAAGAAATGTAACTCAATATGTAAGGTTTCACTTTAAGCAGCCTACATGCCCTACAAAAATTTATCCTGTACATTCTGAAGAAACTGCAGTCTTTGACAACAGCGAAATAATAACACTGGTAAAGTTGTTGGCAGAGTAGTAGTCCATTTTCTGAGTTTGAAGTATGGAGCCCTACTTTCAAGAATGCACTGTTGATTTTACATAAAGAAAAAGGAAGTAGCAGCATAAAAAGGCACTGGAAATACAAAAATCTGTTAACAGCAAACACGCACGATATATACACCAACTTGCATACTTCTTATATGCTTTGAAAACACAAGCCCTTTCCTCCCTCAGATTTATATCATTAAAGAATTTACCCGAAGTTTTTCCCAAGTTTAATATCAAGAAGTTCCAAACAGAACTACAAAAGGTACAATCAAAACAAAAGCATGAAGTCTGGAAGTTAAATAAGCCTTCTTATTAGGCAGAACACATTCACATGGTGTCTATTAAGAAGCAACCTAAGATGATCCTAGCATCAAAGCAGTAGTAGGCAGCTGGTTAGACAGCAAGAAAGGGAAGAGCATGACAGAAGAAAAATCCCAAGTCTTCAACAGCATGGTACACTCGCTTCCATATTTAACAATTTAAACAAGCTTAAGCTACACCGATTTTTCTTAAAAAAAGGTACTCAGAGCCCACTTATGAGTAAAATTGATTACTAAGTAAGGCTTGAAATCACCACATTTTTAGAGCTTTGTTTATAAACTCTGCACTTCTTACCTCCTTAAACCGTGATGTCCTCAACAATGATACTACCGCTACGTGCGGTTTGTTCTAGGTTTAAAAATTTGAGCAACTGAAGTGGTGCATTACATGCTTGAGCTCCTCTTGGAGAGTAATCCAATTCAAGCATAGCAATACTTACAAGCACCCTTCAGATGACTGCATTTGTACAGAATCTGAAGTCCAGTCCGTTTCTCCAACTTTACATAGATGGCATTTTCTTCTCCTTTCTTGTAACAGTACATTAATAAAGATTACTTTTTTCTTCCATAGTGTTTTATTTTACATACCTATCATCTACACAGCACAACTTACAATGGCAGTAACAGAAGCTGGATTTGGGCTTTTGGAATTGCCAATGTACACTGTTTCTCTTTCCACCAGGCTCTCTACAACCAACATCTTTCTACCCTTCCTCACCTCCCAACCCTTTAAATAGCTGTTGTTGGCTGCAGCTTTTGCTATACAACATCCTCTTGTACCTGTCATATCCCAACAGTGAAACAAAGCAGTATTCCAGATCATCTGCAGGTACCAGAGAAAGTGGTATCAATTGACACTTGAACAGGTATGCCCCTGCCCCACTCCGAGGAAAAGGGGGTGGGAGGGGGGGGGCAGAGATGTACATGACTAGCCTATTAAACTGTCAGGTTGTGCATGTTTCTCAAATTATTAAATAACCTACAGCGGAAGAACATGACAGCCTCAGATCTTTACCATGGAGCTCCTCATCTAGGATAATAAAACATGCCTGTCACCATTTACAAGAATGAATACATAAACAAGCTCAAGGTATCTCACTGCAGTGTATCCTCTCTTAACCTAGTCACTATACAGGGTTAAACCTCTTAATGCCCCAAGATCATAATATAACCACTAAAACTAGTCAATATATATTAAGATGAAGTAACTGAATGCATACCTTGTTGAGTTTCCACTTCAGTTCTTAGTTGTAACAGCTCTACTTCTTTAGACTGCAACTGTTCATTCAAGGTTTTCAAGGATTCCGCACTTTCTTTCATCTATTTTAAAAAAAGCCACAACAAAACAAGAAAACTATTGCTTGGATTTTTTTTTTTAGTGTTAGCCTAGCCCAGTAATAAAATTGAGATACTTAAAATTGCTATTCCTACATAAAGTATTGTCATGTACTTTAAAAACCTATAAGAGTGATAAAACAAACACCACATCTTCAGCAAATAAAATTCATGCTACAGTAAACATTTACTAACTATGCAGTACTTCTGTAATGTGCATTTAAGTCATTACTTAAAAAGCCATACCATTTTATCCAGTTTGCTTTTCAGATTATCTCGGTCAATGCAGGCCTCTCGATAAGCTTGGTATGCCTTATTTACTTGTTCACGTCCAACTGAACTGCATTCCTCTTCCAGTCGGGAGCCAAGCAGCTAAAAGTTTAACAAATGTGAAAAATAAGTACGTTTCGTATGTTATATTGAGAACTGCAAAATTTTAAAAATGTAATGGTATAGGCTGCAACATTAAACTAACAGCATTTGTTTTTTAGTTTAGAAAATAAATTAATCAAATACATTGCTACGGACCAATTTTTTTTTTTTCCCCCAAAAGCACAACAAAGGCCATCTACAAATTCTGCAATCTCTAACCACACTTAATGCTTGCTAGTTTACTGCTACGAGTATTTAGAAACCATCCACAAGTCATGATTACTCACACTGACAACCCCTTAATCGTATTTTTTCCAGGCTCTGAAGATGTACAAATTGCTTTTTGGAAAAAGAGTTTTAAGCATAAAAGACACAACATATAGAAATTTAAAAAATTATGTTCATTTTCCTCTTAATGACTCGTAATTTAAACAAAGATTTCTTTCAGTGTGTTTATGTGAGAAAAGCCAAAGCAGAATTATTTTACACATAATTAATTTCCAGGTCCACACTATCTCATTGCCTGCTAAGGCAACAGACAAGCAAGGGGGAATAAACACTACCAGCTAGGTTGTCAGAAAGAGGGGAGCAGAGTTAAAATCCTTTCTGTCTTGTTAAAAATACTGAATGAAGTCTTACATGAAATTACATCTGTCCATGTAGGAAGTTTGTGTTTTGATTAAGTATTGCATTATCCTTTTCATTCTGTTTATCTTGCACACTTTCTTTAAATTGTTAAGGCATTTAAACACATTCAGTGTACCTAATGCAGATATTTGCAATCAATTTACACATATTTTCTTAAAAAAATCAAGCGAAACACACACACACACATGCACAAAAAGAGATGACAATGTATCTACCTTAAATACCTCCTCTTTAAGGTGTTTGCTCAAAAGAAAGTTCAGGAAAGCAAGCCATAAGGACAGGAAGCTTCTGCCCCTTGTTTTTTGTATTGACCCTACGCATGTACCCTATGTGTACTACACATTTTCAGTTTTGTCCTTGACATTCTACCCCCCTCCCCAAATAAAGCCATTCAGAAAGAACATAAGCCCTACCAAACCTTCTGGAAACTTCCACACACTTTGAAATTTAAAACTCAAAAGGGATAACGCCCCATGTATTTTTTTTTTTATCATACAGGTATACTAGCCATTAGTAAAGACAAAGTCAGTTCTGTTACTTAATAGCCTAGGCCTTGTCAATGCCCCTCTCTCATAGAAACAGCTTTATGGTATTCACATACTAAATCAGAAGTTTTCTTTATGTAAAACAAAGTATCACCTTCAAGAGAATTAAGCTGAAGCAGGCCAAACCGAAAGACACAAGAGTGAAAGGGACTGTCAAGGTCATCAAACCTTGTTCATTGTGGTCTTGAGTAACCACGTACAAGGTGTTACACGCAGCATGGTTCAGAGAATACTCAGTCTAGAGCTCTATTTCTGTCCCCCTCCCACCCCCCCAACCCCTCCAGGACCCAATGTAAAGGAAGCACTCAGAAAGTTTTGCCTTTTGACAGAAAGTCAATTCTGCCAAACTAGTCACCAAGAATTCCTGAGTAAGTGTTTCAAAACTGTACTGAGCGTGACTCATCCGCTTCATTCCAATGCCACAAAATAACATACTTTGTAAGCTTTTAAGAGTCAGTAGCACATACTTAAGGCTAAGCCCTAATAAGTGTCTGGGCTCTAACTCTAGGATTTATCTTTCTGTCTTCCATTAATAAAGAGATCAATCTATCCAAGTCAAGACCTTCTACAGTACAAAGACACTCACTACTGAACGATGATATACATTTAACATCCTTTACTCGGGGAGAAAAGCCTGCATCATGGCTGATTTTTAGCTTTAATGAACTTCACTAGACTAAGGCCACGAGAAACTGCATATAAAACAAATTCCTAGATTCCATTACGTTTTAGAATTACTGCATCAAAAAACGAGCCAGCCAACACCACTATGTTAAGCATCGCAACTTTGTATTTCATGCTTGAGACTGCTATTAGCTAGACCTAGCCAGATACTCTTTAACAACCAATTTTTCCTTATTTTGGCATGCTGTGCCCAAGAGATTCTTTTGATGGACAATTCTGGCTGTTTCTAGACTTGGCACCTCACTATTCAACAGTACTAAGTCACATGTGCCCACATTAATAAACACCATAAAGAGGCAGATGAAATACAGTAATGATCCAATGCAACCACACGTCTTTCTGAAACAAAACTAGTGTCTTTGCAGGGCACTACTCCACTGCATCACATACAGGCCCAGTAAGAATCAAAAATCCCAGTATGATGTAATTAGACTATCAGAGGAGCAAACTGTGTGCCACTTAAACAAATAAAACAATTTCCCAAAACTTTTTATCTTGAAAATGATTTTAAGTACATATTTTAACTACTTAGTCATCTGATCCACCAGCCAGCCAGGAGCAAAACCAGTAGCTGCTACTAGAAGCTGGTAAATTGACTTTTTCTTACCTTCTCTTCCAGAATTCTCACTCTCTTTTTTAAGGAGGAGTTCTCCTTCTCTGTCTCCTTTAGTCGTTTCTTGATATCTTCATATGCAGTGACAAGTGCGAAGTGTGAGGCAACAGACTCATCTCCACTGTAAGATGGAACAGGAATCTCCCCATCTCTCTTATGAGCGTTGTCTGCTTTTTCATGGTTCAAAATACAGATGTCATCCTCTACCAACTCCTCCATGACAGCTGTTAAAAAGACAGATACGAGTGCAAAATTTTCACACAGACAAATTCATCAAGAGTCTCAAGTCTGAAAACCTTCCAAAATAATACTGCAGGCTGTTTCTAAGTATGACAAGACTGAATAATCAGGAAATATCTTAATCTTGCAGAAAAATCTTGAAACCCATTTGACATTGAAAATACGCTGGTTATAAAAGAAGCATCTTTCACTGTCACTTGATAAAAATATTTTGAGTACATATCAGATTTATAAACCCCCAAATTCATCTTTATTAAGGCTTAACACCATCCTAGAATTTGGCTGCTCCCAAATATCTGAACTCCAAAGAACTATTGTATTAGCTTTTGCAAGTCAGTACTGAGCAGTGAGAGAGATTATAGCTACAAGAAATCGACTGACTACCCTGGTTCCTGAGCACAAGTGCCAGATTTCCTTCATTCTTGAACACAAATATTTATAATTCTCCCAACCTTTAAAACTGAACCTTAAGGTACACTTGCATCAGTCCTGAAAGAGGCTGCAGGAGTAGCTATTCTCTACTTGGTCACAGTAGAACACATCCTGCTG